TGAAATGGAAACAAATTGTATATTCACAAGAGATAATCAAGGTAAGTACTTGGATAATCTCGTGATATTCGGGGTGACTAACAACCAACTCCCCAGAGATATTTTTTTATATCCCATCAGGTGGGTGTATAGTTAACCCGTAGAAAGTGTTCTTATGGCATTTAAAGCTATAGCATATAGAAAAAAATGGTCATATTTTAGTGCTATATTTCGCTTGCAACACATCGCCAAATTTTGCGTGTCTTTTTGATCTCGTTTCAGGTTCAAAACTAACTGTGATCAGTCATACCATGAAAACCTGAGCTTAATATGTAATAATAGGTCCGCAATGCGTACTTGTGAGCTTTCGGCTTACTTTTATTTCATTCGGTTGGAGTTTAATTTTAATCGACCTCTTCAGCCACACTGTAAAATAAGGGATCGTCACGTGATTAAACCAGTGCTGAACAACTGACAGGAATGGATTAGTGCGGATATATAGCTTGTGCANTTTTTTTTTTTTTTTTCGTTTTTCCTTTTTATTTGTATATTCGGAGCTGAGACCTGCAGTTATTATGATTTTTTGATGTTCCGGAATTTCCGGGATGTTCCGGAATGTTCCATGTCCCTAGTTTTATCGACTGCCGCTAAAATCTCGCATTGGATTCTGAGAGGAATACATCCACTTTGAGTGAATTCATAGGATATCCAGAATTGACGGGTTTCCGTGAATTTTTACCGAAACATTCCAGGGATACTGACAAACGAAAACGTGTTGGGAAATTTTGATATTTATCATATTTTTTTCCCGTGGCGTCCATTTACGCAACACAAGTCGCATATTTTTAGCTACTCCAACTTTCAGATATCTAGACAACCAATCCGAATATCCAAAGAGCTTGACACACTTAAAATAAAACCTCGCTTAAACTGTATTTTTATCGTAAACTTCAAATTTTAAGCTTTCATCTGATATATAGTTTGTTACGGTTGTATTGAAACTGGCGCGCCTATGAATTTCTTCCCGAAAGAAACCCCCGAAGATTTGAAGGGACCTTAACCACAGGGTACCCACTGTATAAGCAATAATGTAATCATATACATGCAAAGTGCCATTTTAAAATCTTTCACGCTTAGAGGCCTTGAAAAGGTTTTGCATGGTAATGTTAAAATTATCCGCATTTGATCTTGAGCGGACAACAACAAAGTGTACAATTATCGTTTAGACTTCTCTCGATTTCTCCTTTGACAGACTTTTTCGGCGTATTGCCCTTCGCTGTTATCGAGCAAACACCGCATGGCCATAGCATCGGATAGTTTTGTTTTGATAGACTCTACAGTATCACAGTGAACTTTTCCCTGCCAAGTTGGCTGGAAGTTTCTCATTACGATCTATGCTCTGATTAGCTGTGTTAATACGATCCAGAAAACCTGTCATCGGGTTGTCAAAATATGTAATAGGGGGCCGCAATAAAAAATGCGCTTAATCCAGGCAGGCGGTTCCTCGCGGCTTCACCTCTGTGTGCCCTCCCGCTCAAATTGCGTAAAAAAA